ATAACAATGAACAATGTATTTCTACAGCATTTATTAATCTTTGTTAATGTTAGTTAATAAAAATGTTCAAGTTCATATTAGTTCACAGTACATTAACTTATGTTAACAGATACAACTGTACATTTTAATAATGTATTAGTGAATTTTGTATTAACTAAGATTAATAAATGCTATATATGCTATATGCATATTGTTCATGTTAACTAATATAGTTAAGGTTAAAAAAATAAAACCTTGTAAACTGTTAAAAAAATTTTTTCCATGATTAATAAATGCTATATATGCATATTGTTCATGTTAACTAATATAGTTAATGTTAAAAAAAATGAAACCTTGTAAACTGTTAACATTTTTTTTTCCATATAAAGGTCCAGTGTTGTTTTGAACCCCTTTGACTTTCATTATATGAACATGAAACAAAATATCTTCTTTTGTATCATATATTGTGTCCCACAAAAGAAAAATATGATTTTTTCGGTGAACTGTCACTTTAAGTAATAGCAATACACATAAAAGGCATAACAATGAGAACGAGGTTTACATAAAATGCAAACAAATACCTTTCAAAAGTAATTGTTTCCACTGAATAATTTTCCAAAATTGCAAAACCATTTACTCTATAAATGCAGTGGTACAAAACATCGAACTCACGGGCTACACTGGAAAACATTCACACTTCAATAAATAGTTTTAATAAGAAGCAAACATGCTACAACATTAGAGCTTATATCCATAAAAAAGAAAGTCTTGAATTCAGACAAACACACACACACACACACACACACACACACTTGTCCAGTCAAGCAGAAAGACAGGCTGACACTGCCCCCCACCCCACACACACACCCACACACACTCACTCAATATATGATTCTCAACACATATTATGTAAGAGATATAATGGCTTTCACAGTGGCTGTCTAGGCACACACTCAGATTGAGACTTAATTAATCCAATTTCATCTCTCAAATCCAAGTGTAATGGCCTGGAACAAAGCATGTCATGAAAAATATATATGACTTCAGCTTGCAAGATCACTGTATACTTAGTAAACTTTAAATAAAACATCATATAAAACATTGTAAATCCAGATCATTTCATAGAAGAAAAAACAACACTGTGGTCATTCCTATACTTTTTTTGTTTTGTTTCAAGATATAGTTGTTGATGTGGCTATCGTTTCGACTTACCAGATGATGTCATTAGGGGCCGGGGCGTAAGAAACGCCCCACTGATGGGACCGCACCACTGTGGTAATGCTGGACTGCTGGGGTCTGTGGCGGCAGCGAGCTCGGCTGTAGTCTTTCACAATACTAAAGAAACATAAGCACAGAGTTTAAATGTATTTTAGCAATAAGGCACGAGAGAACATGTGAATATATATTATACTGTATTGACCAGACAAAAGCTAGGACCAGAATGAACTGTTTATATAGCCTATATATAAATTTGTTTATTATGTTATACTATATAAAGGCTATATAGGTTGCAAAGGTTTGGTAGGAAGGAGTTTAAGGCCCTGTCCACACGAACACGGTTATTTTTAAAACCGCAGCTTTTTCTACGCGGTTAGGCCGTTCGTCCACACGCAAACGCAGCACCAGTTCACTGAAACCGAACATTTTTGAAAACGCCTGCCAGGGTGAACATTTTCAAAAACTCCGGTTGCAGTGTTATCGTGTAGACAGCGAAACCGGCGTTTTTGGCTTGTGACGTCGGAGCCTGATTATATCGCCACCTGTTGGTTTGGCATGCTCTTGACAGTGCTTCATAGCATGCGTTTGCGTTTTCATGTAGACGGAGATTTTTTTAAAAACGGAAGAAGGAAAAACTCTGTTTATAAAAATACCCGTGTACGTGTGGACATGGCCTAATAGCTTCTGTTTAACATATTTGATGTGCTCTATGTACCGTATGTGTGTTGATTAATGTTTATATATATGAAGCGATCATTTCAGAACTGCTCAATTCATATGGATTACTTTTACGATGTCTTTGTGAACTTTTTGAAGCATAAAAGTTTTGGTGAACAGGACTTTCATTGAAGGGAGAGAAATCTGTCAGATTCCATTCAAAATCACATTTTTTTTTTAGATGTTTTGAAAATGAACAAAAGTATTTTGGGTTTGGAATGACAAGAGAGTGAGTAAATGTTAAACTTATTTTTGGGTGAACTATCCCTTTAATGATAATAAGTTTTAAAAAGAATTTAATAGGAAAGATTATTTCTAATTAGCATAGGATAAATCTATACTTTGTACTTGAAAGTTCTTGAACTTATTTTTTTAAAACTCAGTCAGATAAAAATAACCTGACAGAAATCAAACTGATGATATGGTACCAAACTGTACATAATTTTAGATTTGGTAATAATATCTTTATATCTTTATTTTTTTTGAAAATTACAATATATATATATATATATATATATATATATAATTTCATTTCAGAACTGCTCAATTCATATGGATTACTTTTACAATGTCCTTGTGAACTTTTTGAAGCATAAAAGTTTTGGTGAACAGGACTTTCATTGAAAGGAGAGAAATCTGTCAGATTCCATTCAAAATCACATTTTTTCTTTTAGATGTTTTGAAGATGAACAAAAGTATTTTGGGTTTGGAATGACAAGAGAGTGAGTAAATGTTAAACTTATTTTTGGGTGAACTATCCCTTTAATGATAATAAGTTTTAAAAAGAATTTAATAGGAAAGATTATTTCTAATTAGCATAGGATAAATCTATACTTTGTACTTGAAAGTTCTTGAACTTATTTTTTTTAACTCAGTCAGATAAAAATAACCTGACAGAAATCAAACTGATGATATGGTACCAAACTGTACATAATTTTAGATTTGGTAATAATATCTTTATATCTTTATTTTTTTTGAAAATTACAATATATATATATATATATATATATATATATAATTTGAAAATAACATGGTTTTTCCTTCTAGAGCGTTTGAACCTTCTGTAATAGTTGCATGTGAGTCCCTCAGTTGTCCTCAGTGATGGATCTCAAAATCATACAGTCATTGTTGGAAATGGTTCAAATACACAAAAATGCTGGAAAACCAAAGAATTTGTAGATTGAGGATTTTTCTGAAGAACAGCAGGCAGTTTCACTGTTCAGGACAAACAAAGGACTCATGAACAACTATCACTAAACAAAAAAACACAG